TGATAAAATAGTGAGTGAAAGAATGAAAAATAAATCATGAAAATCTTCATTTTTATACCCATGAGATTTGGATTCCCATAAAGAAAAGGACCTATTTTATATTCAGTCACCATACCATTGTTTTCTACATAGTTTGCACAGAGATGTACATTTTGTTATTATTTGAAAGTTTGGTGGTGAAAATTTTGGTGAATATTTTTAAAACAAGTATTCTTCTTACTACCTGTAGGTTTTGCACTTCCATGTCAAAATGCTACATTTTTAACTCAAGAAATTGGCCCCATCGCCTTTTTACTGAATTCTTCTGATATAGCATACCCAGTATTTTACCATTCAAACTTTCAAATATTTCCAATATATTCTTCATTAAGTATCCTTAAAGAAAAGATGTCAGAATGATCATCAAATATCAAATAGATAGCCTTTTCATAGGGGAGTCATTGGGTGTTAGAATACAAATCTTTAATTTTTCTTATTTTTCATGTGTTTTTTATTATTTTTTTCACCCAATTTTTTAACCATCAAACTTTCAAGTACTTTCAATATATTCCTCATAAAGTATCCTCAAAGAAAAGATGTCAGAATGTTCATCAAATAAATAGCTTTTTCATAGGGGGGTCATTGGGTGTTCGAATATAAATCTTTAATTTTTCTTATTTTTTAATGTGTTTTTTTATTATTATTATTTTTTTCACCCAATTTTTTAACCATTAAACTTTCAAGTACTTTCAATATATTCCTCATAAAGTATCCTCGAAGAAAAGATGTTGAAATGGTCATCAAATGTCAAATAAATAGCTTTTTCATAGGGGAGTCCTTGGGTGGTAAAATACAAATCTTTAATTTTTTTTAATTTTTTCATGAAAATTTTCACCTGCAAACTAACAAAAAGTGCCAATGTGTCCTCCATTATGCATACTACAAGATCATAGTCATTTACTCAAATTAAATTAGATTTTTGAATGTTTTTTTATGGGAGTCAGATTTTCATGGTACACCGGGCCCCTGAGGCCCGGTTTCAGGGTTTACGTAGGGTTCCATTTCCTTGTGGATGAGGGTTAATTTGTCCTGTCACCATTATTGGAATTGAAGTAATTTTCTTGTTATTTCAGGTGGAATGGGATACAGAAAAAGAATGCTTTGAAACTTTTGCCAGAGAAACCAGTGAATTCTATGCTATGAAGAAGGACTCTTTCAAGCTATTAAAGGTTAGATGCAAAAGTCATTTACTCTCTTTAATCCCTCAAAATAAAACAAAATTCAATAATCACACAGCTTTCACATTTCTACAGTAACTGTTAAAGAAGATAAGTCATGTAGACATTCTGAGATTTCATAAAAAATATAAGGTATTACAGAGTGCTGTGAAATACTCAGTGAAATAGATTTTGAATGTCCATCTTAATCATTTTGTAATGCACATTGTATACTCCCATTACCTCACATCTTCCACATCAGTAACTTTGCATTTCACCCTACTGATAACCAGTTGCACAACTATGAAAATAAAATTGTTATAAGTATGGCGCATTTAAGCCATTATGGTTATTACACAGTCTCAACAATATTGAGGCTAAAAGAGTCCTCCCATTGCATTTATTAAAAAATCTATTACATGTTTCACACACGTCTTTTAGTTTTAAAAGAACAGCATTTATTCATTTTGTTTTCATTTTCCAGGAAGACTCCAGTGAATCCTGGAAGTGGACCACAGAACATGTCATCTACCCTGTCATACGAACAAGTTTATACCCACCAAAATTATTTGCAGAAAATGCCTCATTTCTACAAATCGCGAACCTTCCAGACCTTTATAAAGTGTTTGAAAGATGTTGATACTCTGTTACTTGAATGTGTTTTAAAAGTCTTTTTCTTGGGGATTTACACGATTGTTTCATCTATGCAGAGTTATACTGTATATCACATGCGCAGTGCTGGTACAGTATATTTGAACTACTGCGGCGTCGCTGTATTAAATAATTAGTCTTTTTTAACCTTGCCTGATCGAGCAACGGCAGGCTGTTCACATCAAAGAAATAGCGATGTCAGCCTGTTACCAGGTGAATGACACTGTGTGAATAGTGATAATTGTTCAGGCAAAGCCGTTATAGGGGTCATTATCTGTTTATTGTCCTCTGTTGATAATAAAGTTTTCAATTTCACTTCAGTGTTTTCGTAGACCAGTATATCGAAAAAGGAGAGAGAGAGAGAGAGAATATGAAGCTCAATGATGCAGGGGCGGATTTAGACCGTCTTCTGGGTCTTCCAGAAGACGGTCAGATTTCCAAGTTTACGTCGACGGGTATCTATTTTTTCTGTCGGAAGACGGTCAAAAATGTAGGATGGATCAGCAAAGATAATTTGGAAGACTGTCAGAAAATATCCCTGGATCCGCCCCTATGATGGATTCATTTCTTTAAGCTGCTTAAGTTTGAAAAATAAAAGACGGACACTATCAAACACAGGTATTTCAACAAACCTAACAAAAATTATACCAGAAAAGCGCCACACGCTGTGAATAATAAAAAAAAGACCGTACTCCGCTCGTCAGATTTTCGCGTGAGCACATTTTGAGTGTATTACACATCTCATGGTAGTATATGGGGGTAGCACGTATTAGCCTTTATCACAATGGCAAAAGAACAGACGAATTTTATTATTGACTGTATTTAGACTTTTACACGTTCTAATAAGTTTTGAAGCTGCCTGAGCTCATATCGGAACTAGTAAATTGCCGTGAGAAACCTTGAACTGATGAAATATTGACGAGGGCCAGATTGATGAATATGCAGTCTTTTAAATCTATGAGAAAATTAAAAGTTAATACTGGTATTAAAGTAACGACATCGAAAATTGCTTAGAAAGTAATTCTTGTATGAAGTATTTCTCATAATTAAACTCCATTTTTATTCAGTTTTGTTAAATTTATTCGTTCATTATTTTTTTCTCTCGAAACTTAACACTGTGAAAAGTAAAACCACTGCGCCACACATCCAGCCTAGCGAGATGCATCTGTGTGTAGATTAGCGTCCAGCCCAGGGTGTGGTGATGTAGTTAGGGCACATAAGTCGCCACAGAACACATGTGACACACAGAAATATGTCCTGGGAATAGAATATGACGCTTGTGAGGAATTAAATGACGTGAAACAAAAAATTAAGGAAAGATATGCCCTCCATTACAATAGCACGTGCGACTGATAAGTTGAGGCGAGTCGAACGTTGAGGTTTTTTTATGGTGAAAATGGTGGAAGGAGTCGTGCCGTGTTACACATGAGATAAAATGGTTGAGATGATGGCAAAATAAGTTCAGTTTTCGGTATACTCCGCAACCTTCGCAAGAAATAAGAATAACAAGTTATGCCAGAATCGGTTCAAAATGCCAACGAGCTAATTTGTGCGAAGAAAGATGATACGGAGGGAGAGACGAAAAGAAAGCGAAGACGTGATAATAAATTGATAACTATCTAATCCGTCAGTACAGACGAAATTCAAGATTGGCGCAGAAGTACGAAACAAAGAATACACAAAGAGGATCGGTGGAAGGAAGCCGAAGAACTTAACCATAGGAATTATTTTATTGTCATCACGAACGACTGAAAATCAGCAAAGAGCTAAGATAATCTGAAATATATTTTTTCAGGTCATTCCTTATCCCGTTCTTCACGCTGATGCTCTACGATTAAAGTATAAAAAGGTGGGAGTATTTCGAAACAATTTTGTCAGCATGTACATAAGATTTAATTATATAAAGCAGAAGAAAAAGACTGACTGATTCGCATCAGGCAAACACTATTTTTCCAGTTTATCCCGCTAAACGCAGGATTCACTTGAACAATGAAAAATGTATTGAAGAAAACGGGAGACGAAATATAAGGAAACCCTTGCACCAGCAGGAAATTTCTCCTTGATTCCACTCAATGGGCGTATACTCCGAGAGAATTATTTTCTTGCTGTAAGAAGACATCGCACAACAAATTATCACAAAATTAGATGACTTTTTTTTCCGAAATCTTAACTTGATCAGCAGTGATCTGAATTATACGTTCAAGTTAACTCCAAACAATGATTCTTCTTTCTATACGTTTGCGTGAGGAAAAACCACAAGTCTGCACCAGCCTTTGCCCTGTGTAAACATTAACATTAAAAGAAGAGCGAGATTGGAGTCAGGAACAATTCCAAGCAATTGACACTTCTCAACCGCAGCGGTGACTTGTAATTGGGTAAGGGACGCCGCTGGCCAGCGTGTGAGTGCTACCCGCATCTTACGAACACTGCCTGCTATGCTTTCGGCCTTTATTGTTTATTGCCTTTTGTCGACATAATTTTATGTCACAATACAGCGCACACTAATAATACGAACCATTGTGATAGCAACTAGTGAAGTTCATAACAAAGAAAAAAAAAACAATTTCAATCGAAAGGAAAATGCAAAGAAAATAAACGCACCCGGTGATGTCGTCATTGGATGGTGAGAATTGCATCTGATATCACGTGCTCATTATAAGCTGAAAATAATATATAGGCGAAGACATTTCACATTTACGAAATCAGGAAAAAATATGGCATCCTAGTCGACAGGGTGTCATTTTCCTCATTTGCTGAAATCGTGCGTTTATCAGATCGGTTTACTCTACAGCATTAATAATACCTTTTGTTCATTTCAACGAATTGGTTAGGGGTCTCCCACATCACGACCTTAAAAGTAAATATCCCTTATGTTTAAAAAGCACCTAGAAATCTTATGGATTAACTGGAGTATCGCTGAATGTAGAAGTCTTTAAGCACCCGTATCTTTCTCGCGCAAGCACGAATTTGCGCAGTAAACTTTCTTAAATAATTAAGCGAGAAGAAATAAAAATTTAACAACCAGTATTTAACGTGCAATATTTCGATATGGATCCACTCGCTGCCCGCTCGAATTATACAGGAAGCAGCGCTTTCTCAGAATACTTCTCCACGCAAACGACAAACCCGTATTATGTGAATACGAACTCCTATATAAGCAATGTAACGACAGCTGACTACGCACGATCTTCAACCTACGCTCCTACCTACGACTACCACGCTAGACCACCACCGCGCCTCATGTCGACGCCAGGGCCAGAGACAGCCTACGGGAAGACGCCACTGACGCTGGGAACGGAGGGGTACGCCTCACCGCCGTGGCAGAATATTAACGTTAACGTTACGCCGTCTACGCCAATGATATGGGACGGCAAGTCTGACGGCAGCATGTTCTCATGGTAAGTTGAATTATACAGTTTAACGCACACAGTGAGCGTTTGACTATCGTATAGCTAAATTCTAATTTTTTTTTTTTTTTTTTTT